ATATATAAAAACATGAAATTTTCCATTTCATTATTAATTGGTGTCACTAGAAGAATCCACTAAACCAACAATCAAAAAAAAATACACGTAAACATAATGATCCTGGCTCCGCGCTTGCGCGGGGAATATACAACTAGTATTTATAATTCTCTTGTTGTAGAACCCATTACTAATCGAAATTAGTGGATATATTAAAGTGACGATTGCTACTAATGAGATGCAGGAACAAAAAAGGATCGTAAAGGATGCATTGAATCCAAAGGCACAAAGAGCCATAGTGTCCCATGCTGAGAGATATGATTCAGAAAAAAATGCTGGAATTTTGTGGGTTTATGAGAGACATGTTCTTGCAGTTGATAAAGATCTTTCAATGTATAATGTCTTCTTCCACTTGAACTAGTTTCAAGCATCTATCATTATCAGTACTGCTTTATCTACGTACCTTATAAGATAAGGATTCTTTAAAAAAAAAAAAAATATATAAGATAAGGATATTGGAGACTGATTTTTTTTCTTTTTGTAACTTAATTGGAGACTGATTTACCGGACCGAACTGGTCCAACGGTCCAAAGATCTAGTTTAAAATTTAATTTAGTGTTAATGTGGTGGTCCAAGTGCAACTCGAAACAGTTTATATTGGTTGATTTGAAATTGTAGATCATGAACAACTTTAAAAAACGAACGTGGGATTGAGATAACGTTGAGGAGGAGACAACGATAGGGAACAGTGAGTGGCTACAGATTCTGCTTTGACCATTTCAGGAGACATCATCTATTCATCTCTTTATTACTGCTTATTTTTAATATCATGGATTTCTCTGTCTGTTTTTTTATTTTGCATTTTTTATATTAAGTGAACGTAAAAGATGAAATAAACTCAAGATTTAGTTTACTTTTCATAAACCACAGTTTTTTTTTAAAAAATTTTAAACCCACTTAAGAAATTGTAAAATCTCTTCTAATTGATTTTGGTATAGTAGACATATTTGATATAAAATATAAGATAGCATATGTTTCTAAAATGTTTAAGCTATTAATTGAACCTCATAGATTCAGAAATGTGAGTCTTACGATTATTTGAACCATTGGGCCACTGATAAAAGCAAGAGCTAAACAACAAAAACAAAAGCTACCCATCTTACTATTCAACAAAAGATCAAACAAAAGCAAAGTAGTTTCAACTTTGACACTCCCCAAGGGAGACCATAAACATCCCCATTACCGTTGATAGAGTCTGGTTCTAGTAACTTCAAGGAAGAATCTTACGGCGGCGACGTGGTGCCTCACGCTTAACATACATCTTCTCCACTTCGTTGAGAGGTCGGCTTGATCCATCAGGAAGACTCACAAACTTCCAGCCACCTCCATTTCCACGTTTGCCTTGAGGACCTAATTTCTCAACCGTGATTTTCCATCCATCTGATGAACGTCTTCTGCTGTACTTGTGGCATTTCACTTCTCCTTTCCACTGGTTTAAGAGAACCAAAAGAGAATGCTTATTTTATCATCAGCAAGAATCAAATGATCAAAGAACGTCTAACAACCTTACAAATAACACGCGAGAAAGCAGATAAGTTATTAATCCATAAAATGCCATGGTTCTATCAAATGTAAACTACCCACAAGCAAGTAGCAATGCCATCATTTACTATCGTTCTTTTAAGAGAATTATCAAGGAAAAAACTAAGCTTTGCCTTCACATTTAGAGAAGAAGGTTCCAAACTTGCATCTAGTCTCAGGCTTTCAGCAATTATCTCAATCAATCAAGCACCAGGAACACACAATGAAGTAATTTCTGCAAATAAGCTTTTCTTCAAAGTTGCAAGTAGTTCACTTGATTATTAACACATAGAGTGGAAACTCTCCTGTCTTAATCAACCAAACGTAGCATGATTTCACTAAATCAATGCATATTCAAGAAATGACTTACTTTCAATTTATTAAACTCAAACCTCCTGAGAAACTCTTCATAAAGAATATCATCCTCTTTCTTCGAAATCTCATAATGAACTTCATCCATATCCTTAATAGTCCCATCCCACCCTTCCGGCATCACCTTAAAGTCAGGCTTATAACTAAGCGACGCCACATGAAACTCCCTATCATGTGAAACAAAGAACCTACAAAACACACACATACACATTCATCAACCAATTCAAGTTAAGAGCATGATTAACCCGGGAATTCTTAGGGTGGGGTTCTTAGCAGAAGTTAATAAACTATTTCCTAACATTAACTAAAAAAATCAAAGAACCGGTTCTTAAAATCCTTATATTTAAAAACCGGTCTTAACTTTTTCAGTTAAAGAAGAACCGATTCTTAAAGTCATTATTTAAGAACCGGTTCTTAGCTTTTTAGTTAAAAATTAAAAAAAACAGTTTCTTAACTTCCGCTAAGAATCCCACCCTAGGAACCCCGAGTTAATCACGGTCTAACATCTTCCAGTGTTCAAAACTAAACTTACTCAGGATACTCATCAAGCAACCTCTCAACAGAATCATCCAAAGGCCTACCAAGCCTCCTCTCCTCCTCTTCCTCATCCTCCTTAAGAAAAAGAATAGCGTGAACGCGCTGCCTCATGATCCTATAATCCTTAGCAAGCCTCTCAACTGTATAAACCTCAGGATTCTCCTTATGCAACCTGTACATCTCAGTCTTCTCAGAGTCTTTGAGATAAGTGCCTCTAGCACCAGGCTCCTTGACTTGTTTAAGCAACACACTCATCTCCATCATCTTCTGTTTGATTCCGTCGACGAAAACTCTGCTGTGTTTGTTATCTTTTTCGATTTCTTTGATCATGTCGTCGTACTCGTTCATCTCGTTGACCATAGCGACTTCTCTCGGTCCCAGCTTGCTCATCACGTTAGATCCTCCGTCGTCGGATGATGGAGGAGTGTTTTGACGGCCGACGGAGACGCCGTCGAAATGATCCTTGCTTAAGCCTGTGGACCACATCGATTTGTGATCCCAATCGAGATCGGAGGAGAACGATTCTCCTCCCGTTGGGATATCCCAGCCGTTATCGTTGGATCCGGATCCATCGGATCCTGGTTTTTCGGAAAACGAGCGGTTTCCGAGAGATTGGAGGATTCTCGAATACGACGTCGTATTAGGGTTAAGGGAAAGGGAGTGTAGACGAGGGAGGATGATTCGAGTTAGGTTAAACATTGTTTCGATCTTAACGGAAACGCTGAAACGAAATGAAGATTAAATATCATTATTGTTCGAGTAACTATCTAATTAACAATCAAACACAGACGCGAAAATGGAGATACCTGAGAGGAGGAGAGAGAGAGAGATGATGATGATTATTGTTACGAGTCGGAAGCTCCGATTAATCGGAATCGCGATGAAGATTAAGAAGCAACGGAGGCGAATGCGCTCAAAGGATATGGAAGGGTTTTAGATTTCTTTTTATTTATTGTTTTAGTCCCTGTAGTTTATTGGTTGTTATAAGTGTAAGGTAATGATTTTGTTTTGTTAGTTTCTTACCTCGATTTTTAAAATAGACTTAGAAGTTTTAGTTTCTTACATTTTAGACCATCAATTTTGAATTCCATTGGGCATTGGAACATCAATGATTAGCTGTTCTTTATGGAAGGGTTTTAGATTTTTTTTTATTGTTTGGTCCCTGAATTTTCATTGGTTGTTATAAGTGTACGCTAATAAGAGTTGCTATCTCAATTTCTAAATAGATTTAGAAGTTTTAGTTTCTTACATTTTAAGCCCTGAATTTTGGATATACAAGGATTTGTGAGTTTTATGTTTGAAACAATTAGTTAGTTATATAGATTTTGGCCATTGTACTGTACAATGGCCAAAATCTTGTACAATTTGTACAAGATATTGATTTGAAGCAAATGTTTTACTTTAGCAACTTTTGACGTACGAATAATATTTTCAAAAACAAACAACATGATTTACTGTGACAGAAGAAAAATCACAAAATAAGGAATTTGAGGATTAGATACCATTCATATGCAATATCATGCCCATTATCTAGCAGCATAATATTGATTTTGGGTTTGATAGAAAACAGGCCCAAAAAGGGTTTTGATGTGTTATAGCGATTGGCTTTTTACTCCTCACTAATGGCTGCGCTTGGCTCTTAGGAGATGACATGAGTAGTGTAAGTAACTTCCAGTAGTATTTAAGTAATCGAATAAAGGAAATGAGATTAGTAAGAATTGTGTCATGAAAAAATATAGTAAATTCTAGTCCCAATAACAGCAACCATACAACATAGTTCAATCGATGGTTTCAACATAATTAAGCTAAACCGATCACAAAAACAAATACTCTAGAAAACACACACGCAGGGAAGAAAATGTCTCACACCTAAAACAATCATCTAAAAATAAAGCAAAGCAAAGAAAAGAATAGCTGCCGAAACTTTCTTGACCTTAAAAAGTCCCTTACTTTCTACACAAGTAAATCCGAGAAAATGCTCAACCACTAGTAGATAGGCTCCTGGTGTCGCCGGAATCTTCATCACCACCACCATCGTCATAGTCATCTTCGTCTTTGTTAACAGCCGTGTTCATATTCCCATATCCCTGAAAGGTCGTAGTGAAATTGTTCATAGCTGAATTGTCGTTGTCGAAAGAAGAAGTCATTTGAGGAGGCATCGGTCTCACTATACCACCACCACCACCACTACCACCGTAGGTTAGTTGTTTTGGCTCCTCTACTGTGGCCACCACCGGTGAAGTAGAATTCACGGTGGTTATTGTAAAACCCGGAGGTGGTCGTTGTGGTGGAGGAGAAGAATATTGTGGTGGAGGAGAAGCCTCAGTGATTCGAGGTTTCTTCTTCTGCGTTTGTTCTGCTTGATGCATCACAATGAAACTTCCCATTACCACCTGTCACAATTTTATATTAGACTTTTCTCTACTTTGAATTAGTAAATTATTTTTTCTTCGTTAATAAAGATTGGTTTTACCTGAACAGGACCAGCTGCTATGAGCATACCGGCAAGGCCACCGCCGATGATTTTACCATTTGGTCCGGCTAAAGAAATGCTCATACCACCAGACCGACCTTTAGTTCCTCCGTTATCAGTAGGCATAAAGGAACCAGACAGCGAAAGTATCTCAAATCGACCCTAAGACAAGAAACAAAAGAAAAAAAATTCAAGAACCACCCAAGAATACTTCAGATCATTTAATTCAGTTACCTCGTATGTAAGAGTGCCGCCTGATGTGGTAGCTTGACGAAGTGTGACATTAGAGATGCAACCAGTTGCAGAAAGAATGCATATAGCTCTAGATCCTTGCGAGTACGGCATAACCTTCATCGTTACATCCTTTTAAAGAAACAAAAATAACATTCTCAAAAACAATGATAAAACACAATCTACTACCAAAGTATCAACTACAAGAACGGTTAAAAGTATGGAGAATTTTATTACCTCGCCAGCATTGACAGTAAACTGATGTGTTGTGAAATTCGCACCCACATAGCATGAGAGCCCAGCAGAAGGAGGAGGAGGAGTAGGAGTAGCTGCAAAAGAGATAGAAACAGAAGTTTAAAAAAACTATTGACTTTGACCAATCAGTAGACTCTTATCCTCAAGTAAAGTAACTTGATTATCTATAACAACTAATGTTTAAGGCGATAAAGACTGTACCTTTAGAAAAATCTAATACACAGTAATTAAAACAGATTTAACCAAAGCTAATGATAAATATCAGAGATCTGCTAAGCACTCTTTATCTTCTAAAGATAAAAGGAAGAGACAAGAGATTATTCTCTCTTAAGTTAAAAAAAAAAAAAAGAAATCGACTTTATATTTTGAGTTTAGTTCGGTCAGCATCATCAGATTCTCTGTCTCTGTCTCTAACTGGTCTGTTTGCATAACTTCTTCAGACAAAAGTGTACCCAGCAAAATCCAGTTATCTTATGTTGGTCCCACTTTCCCAACATCTCAAAAAAAAAAAACACATCACATCAACAACAGATGATAACTAACCCAGATCTGATCAGATCCATCTCACTGAAACCTATGCACAAAGAATAAAACACACACAAAAGAAGATTTACCTGGACTGCTTCCATACTCAAAGCCGTGAGGTTTCTTGACGAAATCAACATGCTGCTGCTGTTGCTGAGCTTTTCCTCGTTTCCAATGAGAATTATAATCTCCAGAGAAGGGAATCGAAGATGAGATTGGTGTTGGAGAGAGAGTTGGTCTCGAAGCCCTAGGGTTCAAACTTCCATCTGGAGCGTACTTCCTTGGCCTTCCTCTCTTCTTCTTCGTTAGATCTGACCCTGAGCTGGAGATCGGCAACGGCAGAGCTGCTGCTGCGGTGGCTGAGCCAGGATTCACGGTGGTTGAAGCCGGAGTCTGAACAGAAGGAGGGGGAGGAGGAGGAGGAGAAGGAGTCACCACCGTGGTGGGACTTACGAATTGGAGAAAGTTAGGGTTTTGTTGAAACTCTGTTCTTGACGCCAAAGCTTCATCTCCCTTAGATGTGATGACCCCACTTGGACTAATACCACTTTTATCCTCCATAATTTATTTCCAGGATTAGCAGGAGGATTATACCCTTGAATTCACAAAAAAAAAAATTGAGCTTTTAGATAATTAAAAAAAAAATTAAGATTGAAGAAAAAGAAAGAAGAAATACGAAGAAGTGTTTCTTTTGCAGAAAAATTAACTATGAAAAAGATTAGATTACAGATAAAAATAGAGATGAAATAGCTCAAGAAGATCAAAGATCATAGCAGGGAAAAAAAATTTGGGTGGTTTATAGATTTAGTTTCTTACTTTTCAAAGAACTCTGGAACTGAAAACAACCACTGTTGCAGCTTCTCAATCTTACAGGAAAAAAAAACACCAGAAATTACATGCAATTATCCCAATTTTTTTCTTTTAGAAGACTGAATTTAGGGTTTTTGTGAAGAAATAAGGAGCTTAAATAAATAATGAAAATTTTTAGGAAAAAGAAATAAAATATATAGAAAATATTATGTAGACAGTTGTATTATTTAATACCAATATTAGGGATTTAATTATTTTAATATCTATATAATAATTACAAAATTAAAATTATTGATTTTGGTTTAGGGAAAGATCACGTCCGTCTTGGAAACATAATATATGTAATTAAATAAACGAAACTGCTAAAAAGACATTAAAGTAAAAAAATAAAATAAAAAGAATACCAAATTCTGACATCCCTTTGTCTTTTTCCAGTTAATCACTTTGTTGTAACGTTGACCAAATAAAAAAGTTTTGAAAATGTACCAAAACCAATTACGAATTTGCAAGCTAAATCTTTAGATACAAAGCATACAATCATGCAATTGTAGTAAGATCTGAGAAAGCGTCAAAGTTCATGTGTGGAGAGTTTATAGATCTCCATAAGGACAAAGCTTAAAAAGATTACTGACATTGATTTTGCAACAAGTACACTTGGTCGGTCAAAGTCAATCTTCTTTAAGGAACACAAACAATGTATGTACTATGTACACTTGGATCTGAGTTTGACCGAATACAAATCTTCCAATAATCACTCAGATTCCTTTCTTGCAGGACCCTTTTAATGAATTATCATGAGAATACGAGAAAAATAACTTAGCAAAAGTTATATATATGACTTAAGTCTCGCTTTCCTATCTCTTTTGTTTACATGTGCTTGTAAAAGTGTTGTTAAGAATAGAGTTAAGGTGTGTTTTTGTTCCGCAAATCAAAACAGACACCATTGAAAGAAGTTGAAATACTTCTACATATTATTTTTTATGTAAGAGAATCAATTACCAGTTGAATAAACGTAAACTAAATGAAGAATCTGTTTTTGAAGGCTTTGCTCCATCTTTTCAGCCATAACGAGACTGAGTTGTAAAAGATTTTGCCGAGCGAGGTGAATCAGTTTGAGGAGATGATGCAAATGTCTTGTTAGTTGATACTCTAAGACCCTTTTTCGCGCTTTGAGGTCTCTTAGGAGTTCCTTTGTCTTGCTCTGGTGTCACTTGACCTTGAAGTTTCTTCATTTCCTAAAAAACAATCACAGTCCAACAAGCATTGTTTTGGTGATTTTTGGAAGAATATTGATGCAAAAGAGTTGTAGCTTAAATACCCTTTTCCTTCTACGTTCCTGTTCTTTCTCTTCTCTGAGTTCTGTATATTCTTCAAGCATCAAAAGTAGACGGTTCTGAATAAAGAAAATAAAAAAAAGCATTAAGTAAGCAAAAGATAGAAGACTAAGAGAAGATTTTGTGTGAGGGAAGAAGATAAATCTTACACCATCAAATAGAAACTCAGAATTTTTCTCTGATTCCCATATTGTGATCTTGGAAATTAAAGCTTCAGCCATAGCTAAATAAGAATTAGATAGATTTTCAGTTAGATAAAGATAACAATCTGAAAACTTTCTTGGAATGATCTTATGTTATATGAAGCCCCTGAATATTTATGTTTGTACAATAACTATAATAAACTATACTAGATTTTGAAAAACAAAAATCAGTGGAAAAGAATCAAACATAAAACCTGGGAGTTTATTAACGAGTGCTCGAGCTTTCTCTGCACGTTTGAGGATTAAATGAGATCCTTTTCCAGCGTTGTATCGGTTATCATCCTATACAAATCATAAAATCCATAAATAACCACAAAATGTAAAACATCAGATCTCTTAGAACCAAAAAAATAGAAAAAGACAAACAAAACCTGATTATACTCTTCAAGCCAATTCTCTTCCTCACAAGCATTCAACCATTTCTCAGCTTTTTCAAGAATCTCTTTCCTGCTTAAAGCTTCCTCTTTCACTTTCCCAGCTCGATACTCAATCTCCTCTAATATATTTTCAGGGTTCACATCTCCTGATTCAATGGCTTTAATAACATTCTCCACTGAGATATCTTGTTCTTCAAGAACAATGTGTGTTCTTCTACATATCTCTTCAAGTTCTGACCTCTTCTTTAAAACAAGTTCTTTCATTTTGCTCCATTTTAACTCCTCTAACCGACATAACTCTTCTTTAACCTTTTTTACCGGTACACAATCATTCAGTAAAGAAAAAGTAGAAAATATATAATTTTGAAGTTTATGTGAATGTACCTCTTTAAGCAAGTCTGTGGAAAGACTATTGGGTTTGGTTATTTCAGAAACGGTAGCAGCTATATTACATGAAACGTTAATGAACTTCTGTTGTTCTTCTGCTGGTGTATCCATTAAATTCCAAAACTCAAGCATTGTTGTCACAAGATCTTGTAGCTGCAAATCAATAAATTGGTTAAAAGCAAAAGTATTAAGATACTATAAAAAAGTTTGGAAACATTTAACTTACTTCTTGCATTCTTTGTATTTTTGTCTCATGCCATTGATTTACTGATGAAGCTAACTTGTCAAGTGTTTCATTACTTATACTTCTTGACCCTTCAGATTCAATTAAACTTGGATGAATCTTTGTAACAGTTTCTTGAAAATCCAAACCTAGAACCGAACAAAGTGATTCCAGAGTTCTTAGATGATCTTGAATTTGTTTCATCCGGTTTCTCTAAGCAAAAAAAAAATACAATATTAACCATCTGATAAAAAAAAATCAAATCAAAGTTAAAAGTAATATGTTAAGTTTAGGAAACCTTTTGTTCTTGAAGTGTGTAAAGCTCTCTGTGCAACTCTTCAAGCTTTCTAAGAGATAAATCCGATTCATCAACAGAAAAATCAGATGAACAAGTCTCATCAGATTCTCCATTAATCTCATCTTTTACACATTTTATATCTTTAATTACTTGAATAAACTGATCTTTCCTCTCTGCTTTTCTCTTCTCCATATCTTCAAGTTTCTGAAGAATCTTTACCAACTCTTCTTTCAAACTTCTTCTTCCACTTTGATCAGATTGGTGTTGTCTTCCAAGACTCGATGGCTCTTCCATTGCAGAACATATAGCAACAACCTTTGCTTCTGAATCAACAATGTCTTGTCTTAGCTGAACCCTCTCTTCTTTAACCTTTTCGACTTTTCGAATATAGACTTCTCTGCATTCGTCTTCAATCTCAATTAAAATCTTCTCTCTTTCGGTTTCAGTTTCTCCTACCTCGTCCCATATAACCTGTATCAAGAAACAGAATCACATTTTTACAAAAAAAAAAAAAAAACTTTTCTTGAAGCTGAAGTAATCACAAATTAACAAACCTCAAGTTCTTGAAGAAGAGATGAACAGATAGATTCGATTTGAGTTTTGGACATTATCATCTCCAAACTCTGCCAAAAAATATTGTTACAATCATAACCAAATACATTCAGAGTTCTTGATCATTCGCTATCTTATTCAATCATATATAAAGATGGTTTTTTTCCTTAAAATGATAACAAGTTGTGGAAATTTCATTGTTTCATTTCTCAGTTTTTTTTTTTAATAGAAACTTTGCAGAAAAATGGAGGAGACCCCTTTTTACCTGGATTGAATGACACAGCCGTTGTTATTTTCCTAGAAAAAAGTTTCGGATAGAAACAAACAAAAAGAGAATATTCTTTAGTCAAAAAAATTCAGGTAAGTCGTTATAACGACCACATTTTTCTTATATTTGGTTTCTTGCCATTAACTTTTCATTTTGCATTTTTCTCTCCTAACTCAGGAATCCAAGAAAGACGGAAAAATACTTCTTCCGTTTCATTTAGTTGTCGTCTTCGATTTTTGCACACATATTAAAAGAATATTTAGTTTTACATATTTTTATGATAAAAACACAATTACATACATACTTAACCATTTTTTAATCAATAGAATAATATTTAAAATTAATAATTTTAACATTAAATTATAAAACGATACTTATTTTAAATAGAAAATTTTACTTTACAACAACAAATAAATTGAAACGAAATAAATAAAGGATAAAAACATTAATCGGTGTTGTTGGAACCATTTATTAAAACTAAAGGTCTCCTTTGTGTAATATCGAAAACTAAAGACCCAAATTGAAAATTTTTAAAACAAAAATTAATGAGCTGTACATTAGAGCTAACGATCACCGTCGTTTCACATCCGCGCCAAACTGAATTTAGGGCCGTTACCTTCTCCTTCCCCTCTCTCTTTCTTCTCCATCTCTCTCTCTCCTAATTTTCTGGAGAAAGTTTCTCCTGGAAATCGATTCGAGGAAGAAGGAGGGAGAGAGAGAAGGAGAAGAAACATTGATTTGAATCATGGTTCCGAGTTTATCTGGAGATTTTTTCTCGTTGGAAGAATTCGACATTGATTTCGAATTCGACGCGCCTCGTTTCTACGATTTTTCCAGACCGGAGCTTGGTTCCGAGACAGAGGAAAACGAGTTCTGGTTCGAAATCGCTGGAAACTATCCTCCTTCGCGTAAGACACACGACAAAAAGATTCCTTTTTATTACAAAAGCTTTTGTCCTTTTTATGTTTTTTTCTTGTCTGATTTTTTTTTTTTCTCCAGCTTTTAGCCCAAAGTGCAATTTGAATCTTGAGCCGGTTAAGCACATTACAAACACCATCTTAGACACTAAGCCTGTGGAGATCGTAAAACCGGTTATTGAATCTTTGGATAACGTTTTGAATCGGAAAGATAAATACAACGGTAATGATGATTGATGATGATTGGTTTGGTTTTGCATTAATTCAGTTTATGAGGCTTTAAGTGTGTAATTTTTTTTTGTTGTTCAGGGTTCATATATTATAACCAAACGGTTAAAGATGTCACCAAGACCAAACCCAAATCAAAAACGAAGTCATGTTGTGGCTCAACGTTAACAAGACCTACGGCTTCTTTGCTTGCAAGGCAGAATAAACCGTTAGATGTTTACTCTGTTCAACTTCTCACAAGGTAATACTAATGAATGAGTAAACCACTTATTATTTGTTTTTCTTTTTGGCTTTAATGAGTGTTTTTTTTTTTTTTGGTGATTTAGATGTCAGAGGTCATTAGCAAAGTTTGGTGGTAACTTATCTCCAAACTTAGACACTAAGTTGCAAAACCAAGATACCAAAAGGCCAAAACTGGAAGCTAAGGTCTGTGTTATATTTACATATTATGGAATTTTGAATTTGCTAATAGTAAGAATCTTTAGGCTAATGGTTTCTCAAATGAGTTTGTAAATGTGTCTAGGTGTCTCGAGTTAACTCTATTAGAAGGTCTAAACTCACTGTTCCAAAGGAACCGAATCTCAGAACTGCAGAAAGATCTGAAAGACACAGGTAATCATAATGTCTTCTGCTTGTCAACAATACAGTGTTTTAGCTTCCTTATAAACATGTTTTCTGTGGGAGTTTCAGGTCTAAGGTTAACTTGGAATCTGAGCAGAATGCAAAACCAAGGATTAGTTCATCTAAAAAAAATACTACAAACAAAAATGTACACTTGTTCACTGTCTTGGTTTTTAAATCTTGTTACCACATTCTCAGAAGCTGTAGTCAAGAAACCAAACTAATTTTTAGGGTTCCTTTGCAGGTTAATGCTGAACCTTCTTCAACACCTTTGCCTAAAAGTAATACTTCACGGTCTCGAGATCTTCAGGTATGAATAATCTTCTGACATATTACAAGTCGTAATTTTTTATCAGCCCACATGAACTAATTTTTATTTTTTGTATAGGCATTTGGCTTAAGAACATTACTGAGAGCAAAGGAACGCTCTTCAAATGTAAGTCTTAAATCCAACATATAAAAAAGCCATTTTCAAGTGTTTTCTAACTCCTTCGCATCTATGTTCACACATTACTTTAATGATGTTTCACATTGCAGGCTAAGATTGATGTCATACAAGAGAACGTTGCTACTAACTTCAGAACGTTAGTGCATAGCTTCAACTCTATGATGCTACTACCTATCTTGTATAACGTTAGTCTAGTTTAGCTGCTATTTTTCTCATGTACATTCCCTGCAGGCTAAAACTCACTGATTCCTCAAAGGGTAGATTAGTCAAAGGAAATCACAGCAGAAAGATGTATGGATCTAATATCTGCCGTCTAGACTCAACGGTAAATAAATCAGTTTTTTTTTTCTAAAAAAGACTAATGAAAAGTCCCATTTGTATACAATATTAAAGAACTCTACAAACACTTCCTTTTCTTGACAGAGATCAAGCAAAGAAGAACTCAGTGAACCAACTAGAATCAAATATGGAACTCAGAGCTCTTACAGGACAGATATTAATAGGTAACTAAAAAAATCAATCTACTTTAATATGTTTCTATGCTCCAATACTTGAAAAAAATTACAGGCCATGACAGATACCAGACACCATTGATTAAATAATTTTAGCAGGGGCATGGATTTATGCCGGAAATTTGATTCACAAGAAGTTGCAGGGAGCCTAATCATTGCTTAATCTTGACTTTGAAGATGTTTATAACAAAACACATTCCTATGTCTATATATATAGAAACGTATATACTTTGTTTAGATATATGCATAGAGAAAGTGATTTCATTGATTTTTTTTGTTGTTGGTTGTTGTGGGGTCATTTTGTAAGCCATTCATTAAATCAGAAGACTTTACAGTACTCGTGAGCATATATATGTTCTTGGGAGAAAACAAACATTAACTTCACAATATCCTTTTCTCATATAACCTTTGTTCTTGTCTTAAATGCTTCCCACACCAAACATACCTTCTTTTTTCCTTACCCAAAATGCCCCTTGTACTACACTAGATTAACTAAAAAACCATCCCTTACTTCCAAACAGCAACACCATCTTCCTTGGGAAACAAGAAAGCAAAGCAAAAACCCTAGAAGAAGCTTTTAAACGCTACTTTTGGAGATAACTTCATGGAACTGATCAAACCATTGTGATCCTTCTTCACTCCTCTCTTGCATCTGCCTTTGCTGGTCCTCCCGAACTCCATAGTCAGTAGGCTTCTTTGATGGATCAGGAGAAGGCAGCTTCTTAGCAACTTGCATAGATGGGAGAAGAGAGAGCAGAACCCTAGAGACTTCAAGCATGGTAGGTCTCTCCAAAGGGTTTCTCTTTGTGCACAAAAGAGCTAGCTTGAATGTCTTCCTGATATGTCCCAAGTCCATACAAGTCACAGTAACCTCTGGATCAACCGCTTCCATCACAGTATTATCATCAGCCTTTGACAAGATCTGCAACAGAAAAACAAAACCAAACTTGACTCCATAGTTCAAAACCACACAACTATATCTATACTTTTTTGAAGTGTTTCATGATTCAAGTACCAGTTGATGCAAGTTAGCTTCGTTATCCACAGCTTTCTTCCCTGTAAGAAGCTCAAGAAGAACAATCCCGAAGCTGTAGATATCAGACTTCTCATTGAGACGTGAGGTGCGAGCATACTCCGGGTCTATATAACCAATAGTCCCCAAAACATAAGTGGAAGCATGTGTTTTGCTCGTTGGTATGCTCTTAGCGATCCCAAAGTCTGATAAATGCGCCACAAAGTTCTCATCAAGAAGTATATTCGATGACTTGATGTCACGGTGAATGATCCTAGGAGTGCAATCATGGTGAAGATAGGCAAGTCCTTGTGCAGCTCCAACAGCTATCTTCAACCTCGTCTCCCAATCAAGCTTCACTTTCTTTAATGTCCCTACTTTAAAAAGAAACAAGTTAAAAAAAAGTTGTATTAACATTCCATGAGTAAAAAGAACTTTACCATGAAGAAGGTCCCAAAGAGATCCATTTTCCATGTAATCATAGAATAGAAGGTTTCCAACGGAAGACAAGGCGTATCCGTGCAAGCTGACTATGTTTCTGTGTCTTATGCGTCCTATGGTTTCGAGCTCTGTCTCGAACTCATGTAAGTTGTGTGGATACTGGTTGTAGAGTCGCTTGATGGCAATAGGCCGGGAAGTTTTCAAAGTGCATTTGTAGACAGTGCTGGAAGCACCGTATCCAATGATGAACTTTTCGTTGAAATTCTCTGTTACTCTCATGATATCATCGAATGTGTGGATAGCCATGTCCATGTGGAGAATCACTAGCTTGGTTGAGCCTGAGGGGATCAAGAGCAGAGAGGTATTAACATAATAACATCTAATGAGTTATGAAAACTTATGAAGCCATCATTCATTACCTTCAGGTTGTTTTGAGGAGCCTTTTACTATTTCTTTCTGCTGCTTAGATTTGACAACCACGATGAGTATCATACATAGGAGAGTGATGAAACCGAGAACAATGCAGATCACAACAGCTTTGGAGAATACTACAAAGAACAAGAAAAGAAAGTAAGTTCAGATACTGAAGACAATGCTTAGAGAATGAATCAAGTACATACCTTTGGACTTAGGCAAAGAAGGACCACAAATAGATCCAACCCAGTTTCCACAAAGATATGGATTCCCAAGGAAGCTGTACATAGAAAAAGAATCAGTTTAACATGAAAATGTTATAAGTATTGATCATAATGACAGACTACTAAGAGTAGCTTCATTACCTGGCAGGAGCAAAACGAGAGAAGTTTTTCATTTGTGGGATTATCCCGGAGAGATTGTTGAAGGAAACATTCCTGAAACGTATGGATTGTTAAATTTTTCAAAACCATATCTGTTAGTGAGAACACATTTCTTACAAGAGAACTTACAGATTGATAAGAGTGAAGCAATTTGTAAGCTGATCCGGTATCTTCCCATGAAGCTTGTTGTTATTCAATATTCTGCACAAGTTTGTAACAATCTTACATTACTCTTCTGCATAAAATGTGAAAGATAAGATCATATGGTTTTAACTTACAAAGAGTTTAGATTCTGCAACTGGCCAAGTTCAGTGGGTATAACTCCGGAGAGCAGATTGAATGATACATCACTGCAGGGGAAACAGACAAGTCAGGTAAAAAGAGATGGTTATCAGTTTACAGCAACTTTGAGACTTACATCATCTGAATGCTTCTAAGGTTCCCAAACTCTGCTGGTAATTGTCCATTAAGATGATTTCTGCTGAGATTTCTGTTTAAACAAAGCAAAGACGGTAAGTTAAGAAAAGGAGACCGTTAAGCCTCACAAGTTTGCATGCAACTTCAGGGGATGGAGACTTACAAGATGAGAAGGTGTTCAAGATCACCAAGGGTTAATGGAATAGACCCTGAGAAGTTATTGCCAGACAGATCTCTGGAAATAAAAACTTATGGTTAGTTGATGCAAATACAAAGTAAACAAAGGATGTGACAACGTTGAGAAGACATACAGTTTGTCAAGATTGATTATGTGCCCAAGCTCAGCTGGTATTTTACCCTTGAAATTGTTGGAGGAAAGATTGCTGCATTAACATGATTACAAAGTCACTAAAATGTGTTTACAGAGATGCAAGGTAGTGTGTTTTGTAGAATGAAGCTCACAGATAAGTCAAGCTCCCAAGATTGCGGAACGCCAATGGTATGGATCCATTCAAGAGGTTCCCATGAACATTGCTGGAAGCAAGTGAAAAACGATGTTAGGTTTGTGAATAAAATGAGTAAACAATAATTTCGTGCAGATTCATCACATAGCTTACAATTGATTCAAGGCTGCACATGAACTGATGTTAGATGGTATTGGCCCTACCAAACGGTTGTTGGCAAGATTCCTTCCATGTTGAAAACAATGTTACAACAAATTAGAATGAAACTCACTCAAAGAAACCAAAAAAAAAAGAACGGAAACTCACAGTTCAAACAATTGCTCAAGCTTCCCAAGCTCCGGTGGGATACTTCCCACTAGTTGATTATCATTTAGTTGCCTAGAAAAGAAAACCAACACAATGAGTATATGAAATGCACAAGTTAAGTGAACAGATTTAAAATTTGAAACAAGCTTACAAGTAGCTGAGGCGTGACATGTTGCCAAGCTCAGATGGGATGGGACCATTGAGTTTGTTGCCATGAAGATACCTATTCCAACAAAAATATGCATTTACATACGCCACGAGATTGAACATATGACGCATTATGTTGTTTACACAAAGAATACTCACAGCTTCCCGGTGAATGAGAGATTGCCAAGTATCGGTGGGATAGGACCAACTAGCTCATTGTCACTCAAATCCCTGTGAATCAAATAGGTCAGATGAGCCAAGTTCGATATAAAACTTTGGTTTTGCTTTCTCTTTAAGATTAGAACTTACAAAACAGCAAGAGCCTGCATTAGACCAATAACTTCCGGAATCATTCCTGTTAATCTGTTTCCTTGTAGTGACCTTAAAGAAAATATAATACAAAATTAAGTAACCGCATTTATATTCATAGATCAAACTAAGATTGTAGTGTCTCAGTACTCACAGAGTAGCTACTTGGAGAAAACCGATGTTGTATGGAATCTCTCCAGTTATCTGATTGTAAGATACGTCCCTGTAAAATAGAAAGACATAAGTCCACAGTACAGTTACTATGCTGGAATAATATTTATTTGTATGAGAAGCAAACACATACAGGATCTCAAAGCTTGTGCAATTGCCAATGCTCTCCGGGATAGTTCCAGTAAGATTATTGCCTCTCACATCACTTGATCAACAAAAACACAAGTTAAAACTCAGACTTCCACATATTATGAGACATAACACAAGCTAAACAAAACTCATAAGAAGGCAATAGTATGGGATCCACTTACAAATACCACAAACCAGTGAGTTGACACATATCAGAAGACAACGTTCCAGTCAACATATTCCCACGTAAGCCACTGCAGAGAGAAAGCATGTATTAGGAGGATTAAAAAAATCTTCACTTTATAGTCTTATCTTAAGAAGTTGAAGGATATGACTGATAAACTTACAAATACTGTAGAACTTCATTCCAGTAGAGTAACCTTGGTATCTCACCAGTTAAATGGTTCCCTGCAAGATCACTGCAACATAAAATGATTAGAACAACAAAACTATATGTGTAAATTCAGTTTCCAAATTAGATGCATAAATATATAAAACTCACAGTATCTTAAGATTTGGAATCTGTGTTAAAGTTGCTGGTAGTGGGCCTGTGAGCTGATTGTTCTTTAAGTTCCTAATACATCCACAAACTGAAAGGTTCAGAAAAACCCACAAGGAAGAAGACAAAAAAAAGAACTTAAAACAAGGAAAAGAACAAAGTGTTGATAGTATAACACATACAGAGTGTCCAGCTGCTTGAGTTTAGAGATTGAGAAGGGTATGTCTCCATATAACAGATTATTAGAGAAGTCCCTATAACAATACAACACACAAAATCACATATTTAAGACATGAAAAACTTTAAAGATATGTTAAATAAGAAAAGGGCTTACAGATAAACAAGAGAAGCACAGTTTCCAATCTCATCTGGAATCTGACCAGCCAATTTATTCCCTTGCAAGTCTCTGCAATAAAATTAAAAAAAAAAAGCCATTAATAACAACAATCTACCACTACTAAAACATTCACATAGAGAAGAGATTACATTGATTGCAAGTTCCTTAGGTCTCCAACAGCTGGAGATATCTCCCCTCCAAGGTTCAGATTCGAAAGGTTCCTTAAAGAAAAATAACCACAAAACTATTAAAAACCTGCTAACACTAACGAAGTGAGAGACATTCAAAAAGTACAAAAAATAACTTACAGTGTGACAACAGAGAAGGTGAGGTTGTCACAGTAAACACCTCTCCAAGAACAGAAGTCATTGTTGTGAACATCGTCCCAGTCCAAAAGCATGTTCACTAAGTTGCTGAATGAGCCTTTTATAGCCATCAAAGCTTTCCCTATAAATTAATTAAAAACATTATTTTTAGATAATACTAATGAAACAAGCACACTCCTGTTTACTAATCATATTTCTTGGGAAATAGTTAGAAAAGATTGCATCTTTTTGAAGAAGCAAAGTATTGGGTAGAAAAAAAGGTTTAAACTTTAACTCTTCTTTCTCGAGGAAACCAAAAGTTTGAGTCTCTCTTTGAAATAGAACCACCTAAGACCTAATTTTAAACAAACATAACAGGAAAAAGAGACAAGAGACAAAGAGAAAGAAACCTTCATTGTTCATAGGAGAAGCAACACCAAGGAGCATGAAAACCACCATAAGCTGCATCTTCTCCTTCATTTTTTCTTTCCTTTTACGGTAATAAGCCAAGAAAAACTTGTTGAAGCTGTTTCTAGTTTTAGAAACCAAAGAGTTAAACTTCAAAGCAGACAAAAGAAAACGAAAGTTCAGGCTCCTTCTGCCATTGCTGGGGAAAGAGAAGTAAAACAGCACAGGAGAATAGCGTGAACAGCAAGAAATGCAGAGTCACCAGAGAGATGTTAAAGAAGAGAGAGAGATGAAGAAGTTGGATTGTGAGGTAATGTTACAGTCTATATAGCTAGAGAGAGTGCTGAGTCCATGAGAGAGAGAGAGAAGATACGAAGACCACGACAAATCTGTCAGAGTGTAAGAGAGAGAGTATATAATCACTTAAGCATGATCTAAAACATTAACCTTCGTATTAATGTCACGTTAAGACACTCTTTGCTTCTGATTATTAGTACATGATCACACTTATTACTTGTGTTTCAAAAAAAAAAAAAATCACATTTAACGGAGACGTAACGGCGTTAAGAATTTTGAAAGGTTTGATTTTGACGTGGGACGTGACCCGCCGTCTGTTGTAGACGCCGTTTTCCAATGCAGGAGAAGAGAGAGAAACGAGTCGGATTTCATTACACGTGTCTGATCGTACGGTGGAGAATACGTGTACACGGTAAATAGAGTGGGACGCGATGTGGAGAAACTAGACAATGCTTTTTCTTGTGAAAGTTAGTTAATGCTTTGATAGTGATTGGGAAACACCGGTTGGACCGGTTTGGGTTTTGTGGTTATCCTTTGTAATCAACCGTTCGTTTTTTTTTAGCGATTATAAAAAAAAAAGGCAAAACCTTATGTTGGAGTATTGATGTGATTTTTTCACTGATGTATAGAGAGACCATGTCACATGTTGGTTTTTTTTTTTATGTTGTTTTCACCATTAAAGTTGCACAATGAAGCGAAAAAATAGGTGAAGTTGTACCTTGTGTTAAATTCGTAATTAAAAAAAACTTAAGTCCATAAAAGTAAAATAATCTATGGTTAATGTTTTTTTGGCTGAAATTTGGGAATTTATGGTTAATGTTGTATTTAACTGAAAGCTTTTTGAGAAAATAGTTAGGTATAAGGATTTTTCTTATAAATTAAATTTGGTTCGACCGTACGTTTTCTGCGCTGGTTTGGATGCATAGGCTACAGTCCTTTTTTCGTGTACAGTCGTACTACACAGTCCTAACCGCCCTATCGGTCAAACGTTTTGAATCTTTTTGTATATTTTGAAATATTTAGGAAGATTATATAATATACAGTGCCATTAAGCTGTTAATTTATTTTTCCGTTAAGCTAGTATTTTACACAATGATTATGATGTTGATTAGTTGCATGTATTTACTCGTTACTGTATCCACCATAAAGTAAGAACTAACTAATCATCTTTGAAATAAATGTTGGAGAAAAATTTGTATCGACGACGCCAAGAACTAATAAATGAATACAAAAGGTGCAAAAATAGGTTCAGCTACGAGCGTCTCTAGGCTCTAAAGGTGCATGGGTTAACAGCTATGGCCTATGCGAGAAGACCACACTGCTTTTAAGTGTAAATAGAATTTTTTCTAACTTGTATTTAATTTCATCTTATTAATTTTTCGGTTGTGCAAATGGTAATTTATGAGACAAGATGTAAAGAGAAAACGAGTTTATATTTTCGTAAAAGTTCGCAGGCTTCCACTTCCTATGTATTAATGTGACATACCTCTATAACGTGGGGATACATTATTGAAGTTGTAAAACATAATAAACATTTAGCTTTGTACTTTTATAAAAGAGGTAATTGACAATAACAATAACAGAAACGTTAAAAAACAAATGAGGTAAATTTGGTTCACGTTCCACTTCAAAAAAAAAACAGACATTTGTATTTTTCAACAAACTGGTAAATCAAAAGATAGAATTACACCCAATGACCCAAAAACATTTTTTTATTTGAACAAAATAAATTACCAAAATGTGTGTTGATAGTGTTAAGAGATATCCAATGGACGAAGAGAGTTAGTGGATGAGTGGCAAAGATGTGACACGCCAAGACATGTATGCTTCATTAGTAAAAAGCTGAGACAAAAGCTGAGACGATGGTTGTATCAGTAAGTAGTAACTGATTTGGGACTGGCTTTGGCATCCCTAGAGGAACTTACGGTGGGCAATGCACCATCTTATCCCAGCCGTTGAAACTAGTTCTTAAAAGCATTGTTTGCTAGGGGTTTCCCAATCTAGGTTTCTGTTTAGTTTTCTACTTTTGTAAAAAAAATAATTGAGCCAAATTAATATCGTTTTAAATTTTGTTTTTGTAGACTTATCTTTTTTCGATCAAGTTGTTGTTTGGTCTTGCATGTTTTCAAATTTGTATTTTTAGTAGAATTTGGAACTCTAGTTAGATACATTTACTTTGTGCCTATGTCTTTACCAACCACTACCTGTTCATCAACAAACCAAACGAATGTAGTTAACGAGATGGAGGAACAAAGCATTTTGCATTGTTTACTGAGTGTGGACTTTATAACATAAAATACGAATCAATGAGTTAGGCCCAATACTAGTAAAAATGAATTTGTTCTAATTCTAACATTGACTTGATAGGCCATTGGTCTCTTTATTGAGCAAGTCTTTTTGAGGTTTTCAGTATAATATTTTATCATGGGCCCTAGAAAGGAGAATCATTTTGACCTTGATAGACCAATGGACTCTTTGTTCAGTGCTCATGCAAGTCTTTTTGAGGTTTTCAGTATAATATTTTATCATGGGCCATAGAAGGGAGAAATCATTTTTATTTCAGTAGCCATTAGCCAAAATGCATTCTTTGGTCCTGACAGATAGCACAAAGCATATGTTCTTTTTATTTCAGCTGTGCGTTTTTCATGTTTAATATGCGATCAATAAACCTGCTATTAAACTATGAAATGTACATTATTTTAGTATATCATTAGCATCTTTTCACTTCTCGTTAGTGCTTCAGCACTGTCCTTCGTACAAGCGTAATCATAATGGTTTTGTTACTTTTCCATCAAATTAATTCACCTTTTTTATAACACTTTTGGTTGTTAAGCAGACTTTTGCGACTTTGTAATGATATTAAGGTATGGTTTTTATTAGAAAATGTTTAACCAGCAGTTTATAAATTAATAAATGGTTGTAAACTTTTTTTCTAAAAACGATTGCCACTCGTTACATTTAAATTTATAACCACTGTTGTAACCATACTATCATTTAACCATTTTCCTTCCATCCGTCTGATTCGTAGCATAAGTCAGTTCACGTTCAACATAAGTATGCTCCAGTAGAAGCCAAGAAATTTAATTAATGGTCACATTAATCAACGCGTTTATTGACACCGACACTCATTATTTATTAATAATCATCCTTTTTTCTTTTTTTTTGTCAACTTATCATAAACATGTGTTTCCATTTCTATTCTTTGAAAAAAAATTTGATAATAGATCGCTTTCCATTGAGATGTACAGCCATTTTGCATCTGATTTACTATACACTAATTGGAACGGACATTAGAGTAGGTCTGGGCGTTTTTACCCCAAACCGAAATCCCTACCCTAATCCAAACCGAAAAAATCGAAACCGGATCCGAACCGTTATATAAGAATATTTGAATGGGATTTAAGAGTTTGATATTTTAGAGTATGGGTATAACTCAAACCGAACCGAAATCCAAACTTGGATTCGACTATATCTGAAATTAGTAAAATATGTTATTATTTTTATATGTGTTTAAGGAATTTAGATGTTTTAGAATATTTTAATTTTTTAATAGTTTATTTTATTTGTTATTTTAAATAATTTTTAACTAATTTATGTAGTTTGGCTTATTTTTAGTTAGTTTTGTGAATAATTTAAATATTTTGAGTATTTTTTTAACAATTTTTTTAAGTTTTAAAAAATATTTTGAACGATTTTATACATTGGTTATAACCCGATCCCACACTGAACTCAGAAGAACCAAACCGAATTCGACCCGATAATTAGTAAAACCCGAACGGGACTTATGAACATGATACCGAAAATCCAAAAACCAAAATCAACCGAATCGAATCCAACGGGGCCCTGAACGCTCAGGCCTACTAGAGTTTGTATCCTCAATAAGAAAATAGCCGATAGAAAAAATGGAATATCTCCAAAAACTATATTCAAGCAGAGCAAGCATAGCCTAAATCAGGGGAACACGTAAACACAAAAAGATATAGATCTTTTGTTAATACATAAAATAAAAACAAATTGTGTTGAATCTGGCTGAACACACGGTAACAATCTCAGCCCTCTAAACCTTTTAACATATAAATATCCTATGAAGTATGTTTAATTGACGGGGAGCTACACAGGATAACAATTTCAATACATTTTATATTTGTTTTTTGTTCCACTTTTTACTCTAAAGTGGAGTTAGGATGGAGTAAAACTCAATTCCCTTATAGAATTACTATAAATTAATATATTTTGAAGAACAAAAATGAATTATTTTTTTCCAAAAATGAAATTTTACACTGAAGATGTTCTTAAACCATCAGTGATTCATTTTTACCAAAAATAAAGAAGTAACATCTCAGGAAGCAATTAACCTAAACAACCAAACCTCTATAAACGGGCAAGTTAGAATCATTGCTAGATCACACCACACACTGCGAGAGTCTATCACGGCGGTTCTTGTTCCTAGGCTATGCACCAATCTCGATTGTCAAAATGCTAATTGATTCCTCCAAATTATTACTCTATATCAAGTGGAGATGTCAACGTATATTATTCATTTTAAATCACGTAAGACATTTTGCGAAAGAAATAAATATAACTCAATTCGACGTTATGTGGTACAAGAAATGATGTACGATGCGGCGAATGTATATAAAACGTACGTTGACCACCCTAAGCTCGTCCTCTTCGGGGTCATTGTTACTTTGCTTCTCCGAGTTGGAGCCATGTATGTCGAAAATATTGTTTCTAATTTGGTTAGGGATTCATTTCGTTCTTTTACTTGCCAACAAACATGTTTGGTTTCATTGACTCTCTTATTTAAATACGTGCGTTGTATAAAACAAGTTTGGTGATATGCGTTTACTCATTTATATACAAATTTACTGAGCTAGTGTACAATATTGTGTAACGTTCCTTTTTTTTTTTTTTTTTTGAAACTCTTGTGTAACGTTCCTTATTTTGGTGTTTCTCGTCTTGATTACCACATGCCACGATCTATTATTCTAACCCCAGTGATTTTAATAGTCTCTTCACTTTCATGAAACATGACCGACAAGTTTAGTGATATAATATTTTTTTCAAAAAAAAAAAAGTTTAGAGATATAATATTAGACATTGACCTATAGAAAAACGCTTGTCGTTATTTGTTAATTATTACACCGAAAACGAAAAAAAAACTGATGTTGAAAAGAAGAGAAAAACAAATGTTTGCTAATATAGGTAAACCAAATACTGAACTGAACTGAGTTAATTTGAGTTCACCATACCCTTGGTATCAAATAGATGTTCTAAAAATCGATTTAAACATAAGCATAATGTTTATTTAGATATTAAATTGATCATGAACGAGACAATTTTGCTAAGATACTTTTTAAAAGAATCAGTTTAGACGCTGGCCTAACCACTTATTTCCCTATAAAACGTGTGATTATCATTTTCTTGGAGGTTTGACTATAATCAAAATCAGCATCCGTTTAACCGGTTTTCTCCGGTTTACAAATATGTGTTCGAATCGAAGTAATTACAGATAAATAAATGTCATCATCAATCAATAAAAACAATATTTGTCGGCAAGAAGTTGGAGTATGTGACACGTCATGCGGCATAACTCGTGGAATTGAAGAAGCATGGCCACAAGGCTCACATGACGCTTAGCTAATACTTTCAACATCGATACAGTTCACTCTAATCTGTCACCTACACGTAAACATCACCGTTTCGGTGCATATCTTCCGCATTTGTAGCCCGTTACAAAAATTTTATCGCAAGTTTTTAACCACATGTCTCATATGGCTCTATCTTCCCTTTCCATTTCGTAACTTGTAACGTTTTTTAGTCAACCCAAAAACACTTGTAACGTTTTTTTTATATAATTATATCGGTGAATTTTATGGTAATATTTGAATATGATTTTTTCTTTTTTCCTTTGGAAGGAAATCGTCGTTGAGAGGCAACTAATAGTTAGTTTCTGACACAAACTAAAAAAGAAATATATAATCTAGGATAATAGTTTCTGTTTGTAAAATGACACGTTCTCTGTATCACTGAGTTCCAAGTGTTCAGTAATCACCGGCTCCTGTGGTCTTCCCTTGTCGGTTGCCGGCACAGACGGTCAATTTAACAGGCACGTGTCCATGTCTTCAACTGCGTAATGCCTCCAACGCCTTGAGAAAATTAATATTATCACCAGTGTACTAATCAGGACACGCATCTTCTAAAACTTTTAGTATTACTACCTAAAGTTTATTTTGCTATATTTTGACCCAATCTGACAATGAAATTACACTACTCTTCACACCTCTATTCGTACCAAAATCACGGATCTGAACACATTGGTCGGTTGCGCCAACAGCAGAACATATGTTATGCAAATGTCAAATGGTAATTTGTGACGATTAAATCATGTTTTGTAGTCGTTAATTTAATTAAATGATATATTTCAATCATTAGTAATAAAGCTATGTTAGCAATAAAATTTCAAACATTAACTTGACGATTCTTACCAGATCTGCGTAACAATCATGATTTGATCGCGGCTTGACTAATGGAAACAAATTTCATCATTAATACACTTACCGTTAAACGGTATTAGGGAGTGTTCACAAACTCGTGAAACTTTTGAGAAAAAATCGTGAACCGTCAGATAGTTTGGTAGCAACAGAAACTAATTAAATAATAGTTTTCCATTTTCATTACAAAACATAAAAAAAAAAAGTAAAAAAGAAACAGAATCTCCTTGTTTCTCGAGCACTCTTAAAACTCTTCCTCTCTACTTAACTTTACGCCATCATCCGAGAACCACATAAACAAGAAAACCTCCACCAAATAATAACTATTCTTCTCCTTTCCCGGAGATTTTTTCTCCGATCCTTCGTAACGCACCCAATATTTCTCTAAATCTCTTCTTAGTTGATAACTATGCTTCCCGTCTCAAACCCTACCAGTCCCGAACGTCTCCTCAAAAAATCAAGAACACCCGACACAACAACAACAACCACCGACACAACTGATCACAAAACCTTTGTCGGAAACCGCTCTTCCTCCATCTCCGCCTCTCGTAGCCACTGCACATGGCTCATCATCTCCCTCCTCTCTCTCCAGCTCCTCCTCTTCCTCACTCTCCGCTCTGTCGCCTTCCCAAAAAACCGCTCACCAGAAAACTTCCCTTCCCCCGCCGTCTCCGTCTCCTCCATCGAATCCCTCTTCAAAGACTCTCAACCTCTCCTAACCTCCGACCTCTCCCAAACCACCCGACCCGCTGGCTCCGACCCAGAAGGCCTATGCCAATCGGGTCGGGTTTTCGTCTACGAAATGCCGAAAATCTTCAACGAGGTGATCCTCCAAGAATGCGACAACCTCAACCCGTGGAGCTCGCGCTGCGACGCCCTCTCGAACTCCGGCTTCGGCAAAGAAGCGACGTCCTTGCGAGGCCTGATCCCCCACGACCTCGTCCCTTCCTGGTTCTGGACCGATCAGTTCGTCTCCGAGATCATCTTCCACAACCGGATCCTCAACCACCGTTGCCGGACCTCCGACCCGGACTCCGCCACCGCCTTCTACATCCCCTTCTACGCCGGACTCGCCGTCGGACAGTACCTCTGGTCTAACTACGCCGCCGCTGACCGCGACCGCCACTGTAGGATGATGACAGAGTGGGTGAGGGAGCAGCCGTATTGGAACAGATCCAACGGCTGGGATCATTTCATTACCATGGGGCGCATCACATGGGATTTTCGGAGGACTAGAGACCAGGATTGGGGGTCTAACTGTATCTACAACCCCGGGATGCGTAACATCACGCGCCTCTTGATCGAGAGAAACTCGTGGGACCATTTCGACGTCGGTGTGCCTTACCCCACAGGATTCCACCCCCGATCAGACTCCGACGTCGTTAAATGGCAGAGTTTCGTACGAAAACGACGTCGTGAGACTTTATTCTGTTTCGCTGGAGCGCCACGCGCTGGGATCGTGAACGATTTTCGAGGGTTGCTTCTTGATCAGTGTAAAGGGGCGCGTGGGGCTTGCCGGACGGTGGATTGCACGGCGGGGAGATGCTCTAACGGCTCGTCGGCGATCTTGGAGACGTTTCTCGGGTCGGATTTTTGTCTCCAGCCGAGGGGGGATAGCTTCACGCGCCGGTCGATTTTCGATTGCATGTTGGCCGGTTCGATTCCGGTTTTCTTTTGGAGGAGGACCGCTTACATGCAGTATCAGTGGTTTTTACCGAAGGAACCGGGGAGTTATTCGGTTTACATAGACCGGAACGAGGTGAAAAACGGCACGACGTCTATTAAGGATGTGTTGGAACGGTTTAGTAAAGAGGAGGTGAGGAGGATGCGGGAGAGGGTGATTGAGTTGATACCGAATCTGGTTTACGCGAAGTCTCCGAATGGGTTAGAGACTTTCAAAGATGCGTTTGATGTGGCGTTAGATGGGGTTTTTAGGAGGTTCAAGGAGCAAGAGAATTGGTACAAGTGGAGATGAGGAGATAAATGATTATTTATTTATTAATAAGGTTTTTTTTTTTTGGGAAAATTTAGCTCCAGTAAAGTTTTATGATTACACTGTAAATTTATGATTTTTATTGAGAGATGAATAAGTTGGTTAGTTGAGTTTTGTTTTTTATACATTTGATGGAATAGTCAAGGAGGTTGTGCTATGTGTGGAGTTGTCATTTTATATTATTCTATTTTGGAGATAACGAGAATGGTGCCTTTACGTGTTGGATGTTGATGGTTCTTGAGATATTTAATACTTCTATAATCTTTTGGGCTAGTTAGGTAGGTGGGAAGTGGAATAAATGGACCAAAGACCTGCAGTTCCGCTACCGCACTTAGATTAATTTAATTCGATTGTTACCATAATGATATAAAATGAGAAGAGAGGTAGGTAGAAGTCGAGTTTTGATTTTGGGTTGGGTTTGATTCTAATGAAAGACTCTTAACGCTTTGATGATCGTAGATAGAAGTAGATAGAATGGAAAATATGTTAGATCTCCAGGAAATCCAGTATCAAGAAAATAAAAGGTTGGTGGCTTAATTGATGTCTCTGTTATACTTTTTTTGCGATGTGGAGACGACATTATAACAATCGGGTTTTACTTATTTTTATGTGGAGATACCAAAAGTATAGAACAAGAAAATCAAGAATATATAGTACACAATCATTCTAAAATAACTGATGGAAAATATTGAATAGTGCTGTAATCTTCTTTTTGGTAGAAAAATAGTGTTGTTATCTTATAGAGCATCTTATTACTTTGCTCATAAATCAGAAATCAGAATGTTGGAGCACTAACGTTTTTCGCATGTTGCTTGAATCACGGTTGATTATTGTTAATCAGTGTTAACGCAAAAAGTAAGTTAATTTGAAAGTTTAGTTTGTTAATACAATTGGTTTGATGGTTTGAAGTGTGAGTTTTTGAACATGTTAATTAAAGTGTTACCTTCTTATACTCTCCTGGTTTAAAATGCAATATTTTCCTTTTCTATATTGGGATGTTAACATAAAACCATTTAAGTTCGGAGATATATTTACTAGTAAATAAATAATAATGTTATTAAAAATTTAAATCTCTTCTTGAATTGATTCAAATCTCTAAAGAAAAAAATATAAATTTCGGAAATAAAAATATCTAAACTTGAGTTAAATAACTTCGTTCACATTAGAGTTTGTGACCGAAGTTGTGCATAATCAGTACATGGACTTTTATTTCAATCTCTGTTGTTCAAAACCAGCGCTGGTCCGATGGATTATAAATCACAGTCCGACACAAGGGGCAACTGTTTTTGCGCTGAAACCACTCCAAGACATCCATCGTGGAAGACATGGGAACGTGTCATACGTATAGGAACACCATGCTTCGAACTTGAACCAAGATTGTCTCGACATATGGAACACGACTATATTTCCATCTTACAACTCCTCATCATGTTATCTCTGTTATTGAGTAATGATCTTGACAATAATGGACAAACTGAAACCATTACAACCAAAACCTAACCCAGTTGCAAGATCAGAATAATGTGGGGCTAGGTAACCAGATAACCAACGATGGCTAACAAGTGATCCAACACTAATCTAGATATTGGTATCATATGTGGTAGTTAACGAAAACCAAATTTGGTTATGATAAAAGGGAGAGAAGTTCACTTGAAGAACGTGACCTCACAAATGATGCTGGAAAGTTAGGTGTAATATATGTAACTATTTTATAATTCCACACACTTTGTTATTATGTTGTCTTTGTAATTTTAAAATGAGATAATGTTTTCGTTCTTCAATAGAAAAGTGTAAAGTAATTTAAATTGGATAGAAATGATATGTCATTTTGGAGAGCATTGTCTTTCACATTTTGATGATGTGATTTTTTGCAAGAGAGGATGCAGTACTTTTAAAGTCATTGAACACCTTAGGGGATGGCCATCCTTTAAATCAGAATTATATGTTCTGAATTTTCTTTTGCGAGTAAGTTTACAAGTTGGAAAAGCAAGGTTGAAATGTGTAACTCAAACAGATGTGCTTTTCTCATAGCTAAAAGTGCTACTAAGGTTAATGGGGTCAATCCTATGTAGCCAGGGGATTTACATTTTGGTTGGGTGGAGTTTTAACAGATGAGAAAGGTTGAATATCTGTGTTGTTGATCTTCAAGTAGTCTAGGTATTTTGGTGGTTTATATTCGTTGGCTTCTTTGTATAAACATATTTTGGGTAATTAGGAGATGGCTGAATTGGTTTGGCATCTTCATGTGTCGTATGAATGTTGGTTATGGACTTATGGGTTTCCCCCCTTTTATATATATAATCTCTGCGAAAAAAGTAAGTTTGCTCGAGGAAAGATATTTTCTTGCTCTAAGCATGTTTGATAGTGGGTTATGTAGTGTGCCAAGTGTAAGTTATAATGTACCACGAATCTCTAATATAACACTACTTCTCATGTCCTCTTTGTACCTCTCATCTCTCTGAAATAAGACCAGGGAGCTCTTATTTTTCTCATCCATCCTTCTTCTCATCCGTCAATGGAGGAATTGGTCTTAAGCAAAAATGCTATGACTATATCTCATGTTTGATTCTTCAAAAGAGAATAGTGCATAACGAAAAATTCATTATTAGTTGTTATCTACAAAATGATTTAAGAAATAATTTAACAATCTTATATTTAGAATGAATGTCAATAGTATATACGTGGTTATAAAAATAAGAAATGATATATGCTAGGCTTATTATATTTGTAAAAAATAAATAGTCTACTAGTAATACTTTACAATATTCACGATAAGATTGAAAACAATATCATAAATATTACATTTACTACTTTACCTAAACCAACGGTCCAACACTTGACACGAGAACCGTGGTTCCTGATAATTTGAAAAGCTACGCAGACGTGGCTCCTTCCAAACCGGAATGGAATCAATTTCAATTTATCCCGGTCCAACCCGGTTCAACACTTTACCAATCTTCTAGAGATTACTGTTTCGATTTCCCCTTTTAAAAAAAAATCACTTTCGTCTCCACCACGAAGCGATTTCGAGAATCACAGAAAGAAATGGCGTCAACACGTCTCTTCTTCACTCTCCTCTGCTTCCTCCTCTCAACCTCCCTCGCCGTCTCCGAATCCAAACTCTCGGAGCCTCACGCCGCCGCCGAGTCTTTCAACGTCAGCCTCATCCAGGTTCGCTCTGAAGATCAAAAATCGAATTGTTTTTTGTTATGATTCTCAACTGTAAACTTACGATTTTGCTCGTGAATTGTAGAAACTGGGGTCTAGCTGTTCGTATACGGTGATCATCTCGACGAGCTGTTCGTCGTCGAGGTACACTCGCGATCAGATTAGTATCGCGTTTGGAGATGCGTACGGAAATCAGGTTAGAGATTTTTGATTTTGATTTTGATTTGGTGATGGAGGTTGATTATTTGAAGACTTGGTTTATGGATTAAGCTTAGGCTTAGGGTTTTTGGTTTTGAATGTTTGATACAATTGCTTGAAACTTGTATATGATTAGTAGCTTATCTTTGGTTTGATTAGATTTTGTAGCATGGCCAAGTGAGTTCTTGATGCTAAGTTGGCTATTCAAGTCAGTTCTTGAGGCTTTAGAGGATATATAATGCAACTATGTTAGGGTTACTGAGATAGTGTGTATGAGAATAGGAAGAGAAGCCTCTGTTTCATGAAGAGTGTTTTCTGTTAAGAGATAGTCAATTCTTGGTGCTGATTAGCTATTCAAGTCAGTTCTTGAGGCCTCAGAAGACATATAATGCAACTATGTTAGGGTTACTGAGATAGTGTGTATGAGAATAGGATGAGAAGCCTCTGTTTCATGAAGAGTGTTTTCTGTTAAGAGATAGTCAATTCTTGGTGCTGATTAGCTATTCAAGTCAGTTCTTGAGGCCTCAGAAGACATACAATGCAACTATGTTAGGGTTACTGAGATAGTGTGTATAAGAATAGGATGAGAAGCCTCTGTTTCATGAAGAGTGTTTTCCTGTTAAGAGATTTCAGCGAGGATAAATGAGAGAGATGAGAGTTGTGAGAGAGGCGTAGCTGAATATTTCATACAATTGCTTGACGCTTGTATATGATTTATCTTCGTGTCTGTGTGTAGTAGATCATCTTTGTTTTGATTAGATTTGTAGCATGGCCATGGCAAGTCAATTCTTGGTGCTGATTAGCTATTCAAGTCAGTTCTTGAGGCCTTAGAAGACATATAATGCAACGATGTTAGGGTATTGAGATAGTGTGTATGAGAATAGGATGAGAAGCCTCTGTTTCATGAAGAGTGTTTTTTTTGTTAAGAGATTTCAGCGAGGATAAATGAGAGAGATGAGAGTTGTGAGAGAGGCGTAGCTGAATATTTCATACAATTGCTTGACGCTTGTATATGATTTATCTTCGTGATTGAGCTTAGAGTGGATTTTTCTGTGTGTAGTAGATCGTCTTTGGTTTTATTAGGTTTTTAGCATGGCCATGGCAAGTCAATTCTTGATTCTGATTAGCTATTCAAGCCAGTTCTTGATATAATGCAACTATGCTAAGTACTGAGATAAAGGGTACATGAGAGTAGGATGAGAAGTCTCTGTTTCATGCAGAATGTTTTATGTTAAGAGGTCTCAGTGAGGATAAATTAGAGAGACGATTTGTGTTCTCACAAGATCAAAACAAACTACAAGATTACTATATCTTTGTTTCAGATGCCTTGTTACAACATCCACAATTAGTTTCAGTGTCTAAATTTCTATTCTTTAAACGTCTAAGTTTGAGATGAATATACCCATCTTTGGTAATAGATGGAAAGTTTCTATGGGTTGGTTTTGGTTGAAACTAGCTCTGGAATCTATTATTAGTAAACCGTAAGTAAATATCTATGTAACTCACATCTCTGATTTTTGTTTTCTTGAAACAGATATACGCACCAAGGCTTGACGACCCGTCAACAAAGACATTTGAGCAATGTTCATCCGACACATTTGAGATAAACGGACCATGCACATACCAAATATGCTATGTGTATCTCTACAGGTCTGGTCCCGACGGTTGGATCCCAGAGAGTGTAAAAATATACAGTCACGGCTCAAAGGCAGTCACGTTCCCTTATAACACGAACGTCCCTGAGAGTATATGGTACGGTTTCAATTACTGCAACAGCGCCTCGGATTCTAATGTCCTAGCCATTGGTCTCGGAAGGATTGTGCTTGTGGTACTTGGGTTTATTGTGGCCGGTTCAACGTTGCTGTTGTAAGATGTTGTGGTTATGGTTTTAATGTTCGGGTTTGTGTGAACATATGAGTAGGACTTGTGTTGAATAATATACTGTTTCTTGGAAAATTGGGTCTATTGATATCCCTCGGAAGATTTTCTGTAATAACTATGAAGTTACTACTGCTAATTCACAGTTTGTAGATTTTATAAACATAATGTATTTGTTACAGATGTTGTGCTCTTTATCAACCATATGTATATGTGATAAATTGAGTAAGAAATCTAATTGATTTTGTTTGAGGAATGGTTAAATCTCTTTGAAACTGGAATATATTCCATAGTTTAATAAATGAATTGTAGACAATGATGTAAAACAATGTTTGTTTTATTTTTCTTTTGTATGAACAACTTAAAGGTGGAAGGCTCTTTTGTTTTCCACCTATCAATTTTGAGCAATTTTGGATGATAATGATGATAAAACTTATTAGTTCTTATAATTTGAGTGGAATGGATCTATTATGATTTCAGCATCTAATACATTTTGGGACGGCAACATATTTCAGAGACATGGTATATATATTATGTTTCACATGTCACACCTTAATTCGAGCATCGCCTGGACATGGCATACAAGAACTTACAACCTTAGGGGAAGAAAATGAACCGAGCAAATACCAGTCTATTTTTTTTTCATTAATGTATGAATAATACTTTGTAAACTAGGATCCATATATAAGCTTCAAAATCTAAACCCTATAAAATTAGAAAATGTGCTTATGTAAGAAAATTAACTGTATATTTCAAGATTAAGACACTATGAAACAAAACACCGATTCCATATCATCTCCAAACTTCACGTCTGAAAAAATGTAACTATTGACCCTTATCCAGAGAAAAAAAAAGCTGTGTCTACTAGTGAATTAATATACTGTTCTAAAATTTCAATAAAATACATTCATTTCATCAGTAATCTACAATCACTTAAAAAATAAAATTCATCAGCCGAAATAATTTTGAAAAAGATACTAGAAGATAGATTTTGATACCTTAACTTTATAGAAAAGTTATATTCAACTGGTATTTTAGATGTACTGATTTACTCTACAAAATAAACATTGTGTGATGTTTTATCAACGTAAATCGATTGTAGGTATATTTGATTTTGTTTTGTCTAACATTTGGGAATACTTAAGTCAAATTAGATATTCATATACAAGTACTTGATGATCAGATCATATTTGCATGGTTTCCAAATCTGAGTTTAACTAAGCGTGATCTACCCTATCATTCAATGAATAGAAATATATGGTTATCCAATTTTCAGTTTTACTAAGCGTGATCTTTTATCAGCAAATGATATGGAGAGGAATTAGTATTGTGGATTTGTGATAGTGAGAGTGACGCATGATATCTAGGCCCATGATACTAATTCCTACTTGGACTCATTCATAAGATGATATGTCGTTTGTTTTCTTGCAGTCTTGTCAATGTGCTTTTTTTTTGGTAGTTTTTTGTTTTGTTTTTGGTATTGATATTATTCTCAATGGAAGAAACAGAGAGTAGGGCAACCAAACACTGAATAGACATGCGTAAAATGGTGTCTTGTAAGTATTTGAAAGACAATGATGACAAAGAAAGAGAGAATAAGAAGACCGAATAGATGCATGTGACGCGGGCCTCTCTTTAGGAAGCCAGAGCTCGTTGATGGCCCATTGGTAGGCCTTTATAAAAGGAAGTCGATTTTGGCTCATATTACATCCACGTTTACATTTTTTTTTTTTTGTAACACATCATTTCTTTTTTTTTCTAATCCCTTATATATTAAAAGAGAAACATTACAACATTTAAGGTAGACACATATCATCACCACAACGATTTTTAGAACCTTAGAGAAATAAGTTGGTTCATCTAAATATATAATAAATTTTTTATTACACTAACCATATCATCATTTAAATATATATAAAAAAAAACATTACAACATTTAAGGTAGAAAGTTTCATTTCATAAATATCAAAACTAATATATATATATATATATATATATATATATATCAATTTTTTTAATTTAAACTATATAGCAGAGAAAATATTTAACTATGAAATTTTATTTGAACATTTTTTGATAAAATATTGACAACTTAAGGTACTCATGTATCATCACCATAACGATTCCTAGAACCTTTAGAGAAATAGGTTGGTTCATATAAATATATATAGTAAATTTTTTATTGCACTAACCATAAATTAATTATTAAAGTTCTCAATTCATTATTTAGATAAAAATTACGGAATTATCTAATGTGGCTAAAGTATATATGAAAATAAATGACATTGAATAATATAGATTTGATACAAATTAGTGTATACCCTATATCATTCTTTTAAGTTTGAATTATTTAAATAATTTAAATAACCAAAGTAATCATATATTAAAAATTTAAATTTTTTCGTATATGTTATATTTTGATTTTCGAAAAATTCTCACATTGAAATCTTGAGGTTCCATGGTTTAAATTTTTTTATGACAAGATACAAATGATTACAAAATCATATAAGTAAGAAGTCTCATTTCATAAATATCAAAATTAAAAGATATACATATATGTATATATATATATATCTATTTTTAAATTAAACTATATACCATAGAAAATATTTTAACTATGAAATTTTATTTGAACATATTTTGATAAAATATTGACAACTTAATGTTACATTTTAAATTTTGAATCAAATGTTTTCTTAAATTATAAATTACTAAACTTTTAAACACACACAATGAAAACTTTATTAGCAGTGAATTTTTTGGATTAATAAAATTGATTTACGCATTCATACGAATTTAATTATATATGTAATAATTATTGACTTTTTAAGTATGGATAAATATATATATATATATATATATATATATATATATATATATATATATATATATATATATATATATAAGAACATATAATACATAAAATAATTTAAATATATAATTTCATTTCGTGCAAGGTGCGAATTTTAATCTAGTCACCCTTAAAACGTCATTTTATTAAAACGCAACTAGTATGAGAACCATCGCCTTTCGTGAAGTAAATATATGTAATAACAATAAAAAGTTTATAGTAATTAACAATATTATAAAGAATGTGTAAATTTTTCTAAAACTAATAGGACAAAAGAAAAATAAAGTTGGGTATATAGTTGAAGATATACCGCATTTGATAGACTCAACAATATTATTATTCTCGCACTCTCATGTCCCTGTGTAAAACATTTCGAGCAGACTTTCATAGACAGATTACTAGAGAATCAGCTTAGGAAAGCAATTAAGAAAATAAACATCTGGAGTATTCCCATGTCGTATGTTATATATTATGTATTAATAATAATGTATAATAGGTAATTAGGTACCATTGGTTTGTAAATATCCTAATAATTAAAGGTCCATTAGTTTAGTTGACTAAAGAAGATTGTAAATTGGCTACATCAGTTATAATGGCAAAATTGTTATAAATCTATCAAATAAAGGTTTATTACTAAAAATGTTTCTACGTTTATCCTTAGTTACATAATTTTATCTGTTGAGGATCGCAGTTCATAAATGATAAAAAAGCATCCGAGTGTTGTAATATAATTGTTTGTAGTTATAGTTGTTGGGAAATCATGATGTTTTTCGTAGAAACTAAAAATCACACATATATTTCACTTAAAATATTAATCTATATAGTTGTTTCACTTTGTTTAGTATTTTTGGAGGTTTAATTTCATTTATTAAATACTTCATTCACGAAACTGTCATTTCATAACACCGGCTAAATGGAAAGACAAATATAAGAAGATAACAAAAAATCAGATTGTCTCTTTACTTGGTACAGCCCCAGGCCCCTACTCTGGGCCGAATCAAACACAGATTTAGAGACAAAAATAAAAAATATATCTTCTTAATGTTATTTTTTCTTCCTTTTTGCCATATCAATATCAGTGGAGAAAAGAGTTGAAAATCATTGGACATCTTGAGGTGATGTGTGCCTAGAAATGAAGAACACTTACATTTTGGATGGTAAAATTCGAAGTTCGGAAGTTTTTTTCCATAACTCTTTGGTGGAAGAGACGTTATTTACTCTTACCATAATACCATATGAGTTTTTTTGGTGCAATCTTACCATATGAGTTATAGAAGAGTTGTTAATCTTTTCGGTACAAAGGAGGAAACAAACAAAAAGCAATTAGTGTGTGATGTATCCACTATCCAGTTTTGAATCATCGGCAAATACATTTCAAGTGAAGCCAGTACAAAAATTATTTAGATGGGCCATTCTTTTGTTTTCTGTATTTTTTCTCTTGTCTTGACCCTTGAAGACAAATAGTCGGTCATATATACTTCAAGATCGGTTCTTTGTTTTCCAGGAAAAACGATTACAATTTGTATGATACTTGAGAGGATAAAGCTATATATATTAAATATAGTGATATACCAAAAAACAGAGTGTTGTATTTAGTGTGTATGTGTGTGTTCTTACCAAAAAAAAAAGTGTGTATGTGTGTGTGTGGGGGGGGGGGGGAGTTCTTTTGGTTATAATTGTTGGGAAAATTCTATAAACAAACAGTCATATTATATACTCCTTTTTTCTAAAATATATATATTTTGTGTGTTTACACATGTTAAGAAAATATATTAAAAATTGATTATAAATGAACAATTAATTATAGTTATTTTCTTAAGATTATAGTAACAAGTTTTGAATAATAACAGTTGATTTGTTTTGAAGCTTGCAATTCACCCTAATTAACTATTTAAAATTGTATGGAAGATGTAAAACATACTATTTCTTGAAACACATTTCATTTTAAAACAAAGAGAATATTTTATAAAACATGTTGAAATTTTAACTTCCATGAAACAAAGGAAGTACCAATGCTATGTGGGCATAAACTTAAAATATATATACGTTGATGACACATAAAACGCAGGGGTCCATATCTATTTTAACTCATAAGGCGAGGCCTTCGAGCCGCCGATATATGAATATATGTAATTGCTTCTCTACTCTCTTGTCGCGGTCTTAGACATGTGTATTTTGTTAACATTACAATATCTCCAAATTATTAATGGCAACTACTGCTAGAATCTTATCTTCAGAGACTATAAGAGGCAATCTCCTAAAATATCAATGGTTTGATATATCGTATTAGAGCTAGTTGTGTACATATATCATCCAATATGATTTTTGGAACTTAAAAGTTTGTGAGCTTTTTTGCTTAAGATGTTGTTATTTTAACCTTTCTAAATGATTGGATCCAATTCAGTTAAAATGCAAGTCCTTGGTGGCACAGTACGATTTAAATCAATTCTTTTATTTTTGCTCTTTTTAACAGAAAAATATACACATCTATTACTTCTTCAGCCTCTTATATGTTATATACTCTTTTGTCACTTGAGAAAAGGGATCTAAATTTTTTACATTCTATTATATATTCATGGATACGTTTTGAAGACAAAACAACATCAAATTATAGACATATATATATATATATATATATATATATATATATATATATTACATACTTAGGTTATATTTTTATAATCTGTAATATGCTTAGTATAAAGCTCACTATACTAATATGGGATGCTACGTACTATTCTTTATTGATAAAACATTAACTGAAATCTCCATTAAAATATAATCAAACCCTTCAATTTGTTTCTTAAAATTTTCTCCCACTCTCTCTTTCTAACTTTTTCCGGCAAGTATGTTGTCGATGGCTTCTTTGCTCCTAATCCAGTCTGAGAAGTTTTGAAGAGTGTTCTTGTCGGATCTATAATGCTTCTGCGTGAACTCAAGAAACATGGACCATGTGAAATTAGGGTACAGACTCTGGCCGGACACTTCTAGTAACTCCTTCGGTGGTTTCACCACCTTGTCCATTTTTGGACATAAGAAAAATGCTAATGACATCCTTTCCCTTTCGCTGTTCACCACTGCCCGGTGTAAGCAACTTTTGTATATTCCATTCGTCAACGCCTATAAAAGAAGATACATATTTTCAATATTCTTACAAAGTTTCTTGCCTGAGTTCAGAAAAAAACATTTCATTTGTAGATACCTAGATAAATCTCTACTAGATTACTAACACAAAACCAATTTATAATAATTCAGTTAGTCCATATATATATTAATTACTAGGAGGATTCTTATAGTATACCATCGGTATACATTCTATGTAATATCTAATATATGTAATGGTTCCACCATCCTAATAAAGCGACCCACATCGCAAATACGAGACAGTTTTTGTCTTGAGTCGCATGGTACAAAAAGAATCATTCTAATAATTATGAAATTTTGTATGGATCAGTAAAGCTTAAATATGAGTTTTGGATGCACATACAAAATGTCAAAATCTATGTCCCTTATATACGTTAAGAAAATGTTAATTTACCATGAAGGTGTCGCCGATGTTAATCACGAATGATCGAGGCTTGGGAGCGATGGATCTCCACTGGTTCTCAAAGAAAACCTGAAGACCACCGACTTGGTCTTGATCAAGTATGGTTAGAGAAGTCGGATCCGTGTGAGGCCCTGTACCTAATGTAAGATTTGGCTGTTTGCATGGCGGATAATAATTCAACCTAAGTATCGAATCGTTATCTTGGTAAAACTCTCTCAAATAGCGTCTTTCGATCCCAAGACTCATTCCAAGAAACTCTATGATATTTAGCGAAAGAGTACTCATCGCCTCTGAGTATTCTTGAAACACAGTTCTGCATGAATATATTCTTAACTGAATCAACACATATATATATATATATATAAATCTATTCGTGGAATCTCAATATTATTGTTATTCTATTATTGTATACTTGATTTAAGAAAATTAAATTGATGTAGATACTAGAAATAAAAATAGTGCATGATAACTGGAGATCCCGAATCGCTGACAAGACTACTAGTCCCATGACGAAATCAATACTTTATCATTTAAAACGTACATTGTCTTTTCAAAACAAACATACATTGTCGCCAACCAAATTTGAAACAACCTGAGAAATTTGAACCACGATTTGTCAATTCCTAGTATGAATTCTTTTAATCTCCAAACTATCATAAGTTAGTTAAAACATATATGATTTACTAGTTCATAAAGAGGCCTAGATAGCTAATACCTTTTTCTTACATTTGAAAGATTTAATGTTTTAAACTTTTTACATATTTTTATCTATTATATTTACTAGTTTTGTTTTAGCGTTATTTGTTTATTGGTATACAATTCATATTTTAAAATTAAAACTATAGCTTAATCTGTGTACCCGCAAGAGTGTTTATTTTTATTTTATATAAGTATATATTTCTTTTGTATAAAAAAAATTTTATAAACAGTCTAATGTATTTTTTAACATTAACATGTATTAAAAAAATTTTTAAAATGACATTTTTGAACAAAATAATTTATTTTTACATTGAGAAATTTTATTTTTTGTTTTTAAAACCATTAACTGTTTTGTAATGTTTACTTATTAGTTATTTTTATATTAATTAATTTGAAAAATAAACATTTATTATTTTGAATGACAAAAAGACAACAAATGCTAAAAGCTGAATTATTATGATAATAAAATTAATGAATTAGTAAGGACAGGTAAAAATAGGAAAATAAATATTGTAATAGAGCATTTATAAATATGTAAGTATCGTTTTAATAGAATAAATTTTAGTCTTAAAACATAATGCATTATAATAATCTTGAAAAATGCATAAATTAAAATTTAGCAAAGGCAGCTAGGTATATATTACCCAAGCTCTTCGTTCTCGTCTCCCATTGTCTTAGAAACGTAATCTTTAACGGTTTCCGTACCGTTCTTGAGCTTCTCCTCAGCAGAGAATCTAAACGTCAACGTTTCCTTCCAAGGAAGCTTCGAGTAGAATCTCCCAGCAGAGCTATCGGCGTAACCGGAGATCTCACCCCATTTCCTCTTGGCCTTTTGTTTCTCCGATGCCGGCAAGTCAAAAAACGTGTCCATACATTTGTAGGCACGTGCCAATATCCCTTCGTCGACTCCGTGGTTCGTGACGAGGAAGAAGCCATGAAGCTTGGCAGCTTCGGACACGAGGCTAGACGCTTGAGAAGTTGCGACGTGGTTGTCTTTGTCGGAGAGAAAACGGGAGATGTCGAGGATAGGGACTTGGAGCTCTTTGATGTCGGTGGAGGGTTTGTCTTCGTCGGGCCATACGTATTCCGATGGTATGTTGTTTGGTTGGTTGTTTAAGTCTTTTGCATCGAAGCCTGCATGGGAAAGATTTGTAGTGGAATGCATTCTTCGGTTTATTTATATGATTATGGTGGAAACTTCGAAAATTTATTTTGTATGCACTTTGAAAGCTTTTCTCTAGGCTATTTGTGGAGATGGCATTTATAGGAGTCGCGATGAAGAGTAACATTAACTAGGTCAAATCGGGAATTTTGTTTATTTGGAGTTTTGTGTTGGAGTTGAAAAAAATATATATATATATATATATCACCTTTTAACTCATTTCATAAAAATGATTTAACATTTTTTGTTTGTTTTTTTACACCTTTTTGTCAAGAATCGATTCTTAAATAAGAGTTATAAAAGAACAATTTTTAGTTAAAGTTATGCTAAGAATTTCATCTTAAAAACCTGCAATAAACATGGCCTTAATAAATTAGTTACTACATTTTGATACTTGTTGTATTGCAACTGATATGCTGTATCTACGTTTAAAAAATCTAACTCAGACCAAGTTTGGACCTGCATTAACATAGAGTCATAGATCATCAACTTGGGCTTTGTAAACACCTAATGAGCCAACTTAGTGTTTGGGTCCGGAATAGCCGAAATTATAAACTGGAATTCTGAAAAGCCTGGCCCAATACAATAATACTACATATGGTAGGCTTGTTCTCTTTAAAAACCTAATTACTTTTGTTTGTACTGCCATTCATGTCTCCAGGGACCAGAAAGTAAGTTATGTATCTTTCAAAGAGCTAATACTTACTCAATAAGAGTTGTACTAATGTCGGATTGATGTTTTGAATAATGCAAACAGAAAACAACAGCATATTTATCTAAATATTTAAATAAACTAAATATTTTAGCTTTTTATTCAAAAAGTATTTATACTCCAATTTCAAAAAAAAAAATCTAATGAGACTAACGCATTTGAAATTGTCCTCTATCTTCTTTTACATCCTCTCAACATGATCGGACCTGGACACAGCTGAATGAAACATTCACTTTGATCCCTAAAATTTTTAGAGATTTTTAATATAGGAATAAGTATTTAAACATTAACATTGGCCCCTAATTTTTTAGAATTTTTATGAAATATTTTAAATTCTCAAAATTTCAGATCCGGTCTTGTCTCTCAAAACATAATTTTGCTGAATTTGCGATGTTTCAACTAATATGAATTTGAGAACTTTCAAGACAAACTAAAAACCTTTTTCAAAAAAAAATAAAACTCTCAAGACGAATTTATCCAAGAAAGATTATGATATATCGTCTAGGTACTAGCTTTGTAAATGATCTTGAAAACGAAGTTCGTGAACAATGCTAAAAGCTATTTGCTGTTGATTACTCATTGTCCGAGCATGTTTTCTCTAAAATGCAAAACCTAGTCTTAGTTAAACGATTTTTTTTTTCATTTATAATTAAACGGCATTGGTTTATGTAAGTTTTATCTACACTGTGTTATATTATAATAAAATTTTAGTGATAAAAAAGCTTGTCATATCCTTTTAGGCGAAAATTTATAAATTAGATTACTTTTTGTTCTTTTACATTTTCTTAAAGAATGGTACCAAGTCGATTTAACTAATTATGTCTTCAAATTAAATTATGTACTTATTTGGAAGAAACAACTTGTCGGCACAATAGGTTACTCACAGGTACACAGTGCACATTTACATGAAATTATCCAATTTGCCAAGATTTATGTTTCATTATTAGAATATATGGACTTATTCTCTTATAGCAGCCGCAGGTTAATATAGCGCATTAATGTTGCGATTCTGCCATACGGAAAATATGATACAACGACATTAAGTGCCATTGATTCTACTAACTTTTCTTGTCACTAGGCCTGGACAGAAAAACTGGAACCAAAGTATCAAACCGAAATTGAATTGTAATATCCAAAATTCGAATCGAACCGAAATCCTCAAATACCCTAATGGTTCTTATATTCATATATTAGAAATAATCGAATCGAATTGGAACCGAACCGAAAACCGAACGGGTACCCGAATATATAATAATGTTAATTTATATACATATAACATAACTAAATATATAATTTTAACTTAAAAATTTATTAAAAAATTTCAAAAATAGTTGAAGATAACTAAATAATTATAAAGTATCTGAATTACCCGAAAATATATAGATAATTTATTTGAAATATTCAAAGTAATCCAAATCGTTCTACTGGTATTTTTGGTTCCTAATTTGCTATCCGAACCGAACCCGAAACTATATGAGCCAAACCGAACCGAAAATTGGTCAAGTAGTAAATGGATCTTCTAGCCTCCTACCGAACCATACGAAACTCGAAATACCTGAACTGAACCGAACCGATATCCAAAACGGCCAGACCTACTTGTCACTATGATATATTTTAGTACTATTCATTGGACTTTCGAATCCATAAGATAAAAGGTCAAATTATATGTCCATAGGAACATTTAAAATTATTAGTAGAGGTTGATCCGCTCGACTGAACAAAGGTTTGTTTTACTTTGTTTAATATGTAAATATTTTGTTCATAATTATTGATATATATATATATATATTACCATTTACCATATAAATAGCTGTATACTATTATATTTCTTAAAAAAATATTGTGTGAATGCAAATGTTTAATTTATTTTTTCAAAGTATCATTTTTGTTGTATCTTTCTTATAATATACGTATTTTATTTGTTTTGAGCTAGAACTTTAGATTAGAGAATATATTACATTATTGAATATTATTTGTATCAGTAATTTATATATTAATAGATTTGGTATTTGCAATTAGAATTCAATTTAAATTATTAGCAATACAAGATTAATTAACTATGTAGAAATTTTATTTTATTTTGTTTAATAAGATAATTATGTACACTAATAACTTAGGTTTTAATAATAGTAATATTTTTGGTTTATAATTTAAAAATGATAGATGAAATCAAATACATAATAAATTTGTAGGCTTAAATAAATATGTAAACATTTTTATTTATTTTTTACGTTGAAAACTCCATATTTTATTAAAAAACTTCCATATGTAAAAATTTTTTAATGACTTGTATAGTCACTTTTTTAATCCTATCTCACTATTGTGGTTAGGACATACTTTTTTGTTTGTACATGAGTTATTTATTGTGTCCAAGAATGATATATTAACTAGGCAACGATTAAAAATGAAGTAAAGCTGTAAGAAATAATCTGATATTTATTAGAAAGTGATTAAAAGGAAGTATAAAATATAAGAAATAACTTAAAAATAAAAATAAAATATTTGTATTTTACTTTTGATTGAATAAATATTTTTAATCTTACAAAGTTTTGACTCGTTTACGCTGCACTTAATTGAGTTTGTCCGAGCTATTTTTTGTTTTTACTTTCTTATAAGTAAATATTTTTTAAGGGATAATACCATTTAAATAATGATATAATATATATTTATAAACATGATAATTTTACAGTTTATATTGAGTAATTTTATTTATCTTATAAACCATCAATTGTATCATCCATAGTTTTAGAATATGAATATATATCTGCACAAATGTATTTTTATTTTTTTGTATCAAAATTTTATGATAATGTATAATAAAATTGTTGTTTATACTACTGAAAATATATGGTCTTGTATATTTATATTTTTAATATTTACCATACTGAATTTATATATTAATCTGTATATTATATAAATGATCATTTTTATGTGGCTTTATTTTAGTTATTACTAATAAATAATAAAATATGTAATTATATAGCATTAAAAACAATATCGTTCATTAACTATTTAAAACTAGATTTATTAATTATTTCAAAACACAAATATATGTAATAAAATAGAAAAAGACAAAGAATACTAAAAACTACTTTTATAAATTATATTTATCATGATTTTTTAGTTAGAATTTGATCTTAATAATACATTAATTAAACATGAAATAGACAAAGAATCATAAAAAAATAGGTTAATTAATAACTTTATGTCATTATAAATAAACTGAAAAATTGAGGGATATTTTATTTTTATATTTCTCTACAGATACGGTATCGCAAACTATCACTGCATGTTTTCCTAAACCGAAGTTTAAATCAAATTCTATTCTAATCTAAAAATACGACTACAGCTTTTACCAAAAATGATTTAGGTTTTTGACTATCGAACGATAATCAATAAATTACGAATTGCCAAACGGTCACCGAATCTTATATACATGTTAACCATCGATATCTTTTAATTAACAACACTACAAGAAAACTAAACCATTACTAGGAAAATTTACTAGGAAAACATTTCCTCGTAAAAATACTACTAGTTTACTTCGACTTTACGAGGAAACATCTTTTCCTCGTAAGGTTCTCGTAAACTTACGAGAAAAGCCTTTCCTCGTAAAGTGGAAGTAAATTTACGAGGCTCTTACGAGGAAAATATTATTTTCCTCGTAAAGGCATAGTAGGACGTTTCCTCGTAAAGTTCTAGTAATACTTTACTACGAAATTAGGAGGAAACGTTTTTTTACTACGAAATTAAGAGGAAATGGATAGAAAATACAGAATATTAATCAAAAACGTGTTTTGTAC